TAAGGGATTAAAAATTAGAAGAATCAGTTAAAAAAACAATTAAAATATGAATAATACATATTGAAAGCATTGGAAAGATTGAAATTAGATGAAATAGGACTCATGTAATGAAAATCGCTTAAAAATTAGCGATTTATCGTGATTTATCATGCTGATTAAATGTGAGATTATATCGCGATTATTCTTGAGGGTATGGGTGTGGCTATCGATGGATCTTCTCTTCTCTCACACTCACACCCCACGACGGTTAATGAACAATTCAAATCTATCAATCAACTTGACTCCTCTGAAAGCATACTACATTGACGACAATGTTAATTACATTTGTATGATTATTTCACCTCTTTCAAACACATTCAACAGCATTAACAATTTTTAAACGAAGCTTTAGACTATGAAAACAGATTAAGGTGTGAAATTTAGACCATGAGTAATTCCAACTTTAAAGAACGATGATAGAACAATATGATTGCACAAATCTGTTGATCGATTTAAAAAATGTTCGAATTCAATGAATTTATTTTCAAGATCTTATTTCTTAATTAGTAATTCTGTTTTTTAATTTTGCTTTGGATGGCAATCACCCTTAAAACTTTTCAAAACTGACGTCTATAAAAGGTACACCTATATATCGTTCAACCACATTCTACGTTTTCAGCAACTGAAGGGTTACAATATGTAGAAAAATGCAAATATAGAACCTTTTTCTGACGATTCGACTGTAAAAATCGCTGAAACTCCAGAAATGTTTTCCTGTAACGTGAATAAGCTGAATCGAATTTTCCAATGAAATATGTTAAATTTTGTCGTCTCCTATTGAAAATTATAAAATCCTATTAAACAAATAAACCATGAAAATGTGTGTTAGCAAAGCTCTTGGTTTTAAAGAAAATAAACATGTGCGTATATTCGAATATAGAATACAGCAATGAAAGTAGAAAGAGAAAAGAGTATAGGAGTGAATAAGAGCTACTAGTAATTCATTTTTCGATATTTAACTTTTTTCTACATTTTCTTATTATTTTCTAATCTGACATTCGTTCGTTTTTCAACTTCAACAAATTTTCTTAACTTGCCATAGAGGAAAATTTTAAACGCGAAATATTCTGAACTAGTTATCTAAATTATAAGCAACTGTTTCTTTGATTTAGTCAAACTTATACTCATATCCATATCTTTCATAAAATCGAAACAACATCACGCTTAGTTACAGACATTCAAAGATTGAACGATTTCAATTTGTACAAGAATGAAAAGTATTTGAATGTCAATATTTATATTCAGTTGATTTTCTATGTAGTTACAGGGTATGTTTCTATTTCTAGAAGAAACAAATAATGTTTCACAACAATAGCAGACTAAACTACTACAACAATAAAGTAAACTGCCAACACAGCGAAACCCAAAACAACGAAGTAAATTATCAATACGATGAGATCAGCTACCATACCTATACACAGTCAAATCTTGTTAGATGCGAGATAGAAGATTCAAAAATTCATCGTCATCATCTAAGTGTTTTAATTTTCCCACAACATCTCAGGTCACATAATAAGCACAAGGTATCAGATACCATTGAAAAATGGGAAAAAATCGAACGAGGTACATGTCATTACGCTAACGGAGATATATACACAAGTGATTGAGTCAATAATCGAAGAACAGGTCAAGATGTATATACTTATGTCAATGGTGATAAATACAATGGACAATTTAAGGATGACAGGGTGCACGGACGAGGCACATATTATTTTTTTAATGGTAATAAATACACAGGTGATTGGGTAAATGGCAAACAAACAGGTCAATGTATCTTTGTGTGAGGTTCCAAAATAAAATGGACTGGTGACAAATATGAAGGACATTTTAAGGATGACATGAAACAAGGACGCAGAACATATTATTTTGTTAACGGTGAAGTAGAATCGGATTATTGGGCCAATGATAAGAAAGTGAGTTAAGATATCTACTTCTGATCTAATGACACTAAAGAGACAAAATGAAGTATTATTACAAATCGAGCTAAGAACATCCACAGCTTTTATTTCTCTTCTTCTTGATTATGCTAATGCGTCTATGTGTGTACCCTTATGCTAATACAAGTTTGCTAATCCGTTACTTATAATTGTGCATCATTCATTTTTGTTTGTTTACTCTTTTCTCTAACATTTTAAACATATATGTTTGATGTCATCTTCATTTTTATTTAGTCTAGTTTAAAACAAAAAAATAATATTCATGGTGGTAAGTTCTTGTTTATTCTTCTGTCTCTATTCTTTATATGGTGTGTCCTTTATATTATTTAATTTTTCTCTCATGTGTATTGAGAATGTATGAAAAATAAGAAAGAACTTGAATAATAAAGTAGTTGCTTATTCAAACACAAAGAAAAATTCATTTTATCAAATCTTTGTTCGTTAAGATCGCTGTTTTAATACAATTTCAAAAGTTCAGTGTTACTTTCTTAAAGAATCTCAGGTGTAGATACGAATTTTCCTTTGATATCCACACTCACTTTTGCTATCAAAGCAAATTCACATATTGTTTTGACACAGATGAAAGTTAGATGTTGTTAATAGTTTTTGAAACTGATATGGTTTGATATTAAAGATAATAAGTAATCTATTAAAATCCAGTTTGAACATTTTATCATTGATTTCTATCATAATGAAAAGCTGTACGTCGATTTTGATGAATCAATACTTAAAAATGGCAAAATATTTTTAATTGTAACGATGTAAAATGCTACAAAATTATTGTTTATGATTCATGATTTATGACAAGTACATTGTGCCTTACTATTTTCTATTACATCTGGATGCAAAAAACAAAAAAATTAATTTGATCAATACTCCAAACTCACCAATATATTTGATCAATTCACTGATTTATTTCGGTAGCTAAGAAAAAATGTTGAATTATGCATTCAAAAAGAAGAACCATTAAATATTTATGAGCAACACCAAAAGCTGACTTATCGATTGTCTAAAAAGTCTGCTTCATTTTTTTAGTTGCTATTATACTGCATGACGAATAATCGTAAAAGGAATATCATCGGATTAATAACAAATCATTGAGATCGATTCAACCATTTTGATGACGAACACACATTCGGTAGTGTACTAGTCTATCAGAATAATACAAACAATTGAATCACCCATTTCGCACTGGAGATATTGCGGATGCGGATACGAGTGAGATGCACGTTAATGTTCTTTTAATCTGCAATGATACACACTCATAAAAAATCTCGAAGTAATACATCTATTCTTTTAATATAAATTTCATCATTAGAAATTTCTTTATTTATTGTTTATCATACAAAAAATCATGAAATTTTATTGATTATTTAACTTGTTTAGTTCATCATTGATAGTTTCGAACCAAAAAAAGATAGAATTTTTTCATCTGAATCTGTTCGTTCTACTGTTTTATCATATTTGTGTAGAATTCACATATTTTCGTAGAAAATAGTGAATGTAAATTTCAAGTCGAGCTTTTCAAGCTCTCTTTTCATTAGAGACTTTGGCGATCAAAAATAATAAATATTCGATTTCCTAATATTTTCTTTTTTGTAAAATTGACCAAATTATAGTTTTGATGATTGGTAAATATCATCATCTGTGAATTGATCATCTCATATAAATGATGATATGTAAGATCGTCTGTATATATCATTATTTTATAAAGCAGACTTACTTATCAGTTAGTCTCATATTGTAAAAATAAGAATATTACGTTCAGAAAATAGATTAAAAAATGATGACAGTGAACAAAAATTGGAAACCAAAAATAGGTCGTCATAGAAAAAAAATTTTAAAATTCTACGAAAAATGCTGAAGTTAGATAGAACATTCCTGTGTACGTCGATCATCGTCCAAAAGAGCTGAAGCCTATCACACGTTTTTTCACTTTATGTATTTTGTATCAATTAAATAAACGTAGAAAACGTCCGTGAGTTTGGTATGCAATCTCTGAGGAAATGCACTAGCAAGCTTTGTTTTACTTCAGATCAAGAACACTCGACTCCACAAATTAAATCTCATTTTAATATTCGAAACCTGATTTTTTTTCTTCTATTTTGACATCATGAACTTATTGATATGATACATGAGATTCATTTTTATATTTGAAACTGATGATTTTTTTTTCTGACTTTTAGACCAACAATTGTATACTCATGAAGGTTTATTACATTTTAATCTTCAGAAACTAATAGTTTCTTTTATTTTTTTTTGTTTTCGGATTAGCAAACTGAGAGTCAGCAGAGTATATTATACATTAATACTTGCAAAATGATAATTTTCCTTTTCTTTTTGTTCTTACTTTAAATCACTAAACAAACAATCAACAAAAAGAGTTCTACTTTACTATATAGAAATTAGTGATTTGTTTTCTTTAATGTTCAGCTCATGAAACGATCAATCCACGGCATTAGTCTCATCTGAATCTTTGCAATTGATCAAAAATTTCACTGTAATTTCGATGCTTAAAAAGCTATAGATCTTTTGGTTCTCTTATCGATCATAACTGAATCGATTCAACAATGTTATAATATTCTTTTGGTATTTAAAAATATATTCTAACGATGATTGTATTACCTTTTCGATGTATCAGAAACGTTTCCCTAGGAATTCTCAGAACCTTTTAAATAGAAATACAATGATAAATTTTTTCTTCCTTTCGTGAGACCTATTTTTCTTTTCAAGATTGTCATTCAACTTCCTAATATAAATCTAGTTTTTTCATATCTATCGAATAAATTATGTCTGAATACGAAAAATTCAATAAGATTTGCATTACTGATGTATCTAAATATTCTATATCCATACTGAAAACTCTAGACAATTTCAATTGCGTAGTTGCTGATATGATAAATGAGTGACGAATTAAAAAGATAAATATTTGTAGTTCTTGATTATGCTGTTCTGATTGTTTATCAATATTAAGTAAAAAATAATAATAATAAGTATGTCAAAGTCAAAAGTATTTTTATTGTGCTATTTTTTGTTTCTCAATTCTAATTTCTTTTGAATTGCTTTCGCAGCAACAACACCATCTGCCATTGCAGTTACACAACATGGATGGACGCGTTGTGCTACTTCACCAATGGCATAGATTCCCGCTTCTGACGTTTCATAAGTCGCACCATTAGTCGCAACAAAGCCTTTAGCAGTTTTTTCAACATTAAACTTTGCCATAAAGGGTATCGATGCTGTCCAACCATAAAGTACTATAATACGGTCATACTTTTCTCCATTCACTGTATTAGACACTGTATCAATGTGGCACGCACCCTCATATTGACGTACATCAACTGCTGGCACTCGATCGGTAAATTCTTGTCTGGCACGTATACTATGTTCTTTGTCATTACGTGCATAAATATGTACATAAGAAGGTTGCTTTGCTTTGATGAATTCATAGTTTTCAAAAGCACTATCACCACCACCGAGTATCGCTACCGATTTATTAGTAAAATCGTGATTCGAAATTTTATTACCAGGACCAATGAGAAGGCGATCGGTTTCTTGTAAATCACCAGTTGCTGGACTAACGCCTGTGGCAATAACAAGAAATGAAGAGTCTACCAGATGATGTACTTTTTCCTTATCCACAAATTCAACCCGAAATCCAGTCTGGGTGCATTCAACATGAATTACTTCACTCTCAAAGAAACAACGAATGCCGTGACTCAAAATGTTATTATGTATAGTTAGAGCCACTTCTTTACCGGTCAGTCCGGACACAGCAGCTATCCATTCATTAAGGTATGGGCTGTCGTTTTGTAATCCACCCAGCTGATGACGTTTCTCAATGATACAAGGTTTAAATCCTAGCATTTTCAACCAGAGAGCACACGAACTTCCAGCAGGTCCACCGCCAATAATTGTGACGTCATATTGTTCGGGTTTTGCCGTAGTAGTCTTATTTTCGTCGTCTTTGAACTGTTGAGTTGGCGAACTAAAGTAGCTTAATAATATTTCTTCAGTAAAATTAACAGTATCATAATATTCTTACAAAGAGCTTTTCAATCAATACCAATATTATTTTAGAATTTTTCACCCTTAAGGTAGAAATCTTTCAAAAAATAAATTGGATAAAACAAAAGACTTTTAGACAAACTGGGACAGGCAAACAAGTATCAATCAACTTGTGGAATAAAGGTTCTCACAGCTTTATAGTGTTTCTTTGATTTCAACAAATAAAAACTCTTGATAATCAAAGAGGAATAAAAAAGCACTACTCGAGAATGTCAAAAAACAAATAGGAGAACATAGCACCTATACAACTAAAATTTTCGATTCAAAATTTTGTAACAAATGAATATACTCGTTATCTTTTTTATATCAATTCGTATCATCTTAGATTGGTAATATTTTTTCATGACAGATCAAGAAATTCTGGAAACTTAATGCAATTGATAAAAAAGCTTCTTTTCAAAAAACTATGATAATTACGAATAAAGTGTTCTACGAATTCAAAACAAGGTTAACTTCTTGTCAAAATATATCAACAGTAATGGAATATATATTGATTTCGTTTGCAATTCTACGATTACCTTTGCTCATTGTTTGACGATGATGATGTATCAGAGGCCATTGTATATCTAAAGTATAGTAAGAAAATTGTAGAAGTCGCAGATTTTTATTATCTACAAGAGCATTGAAAAGAGTTCTCTCAGCAAGTAAAATATTAATCTATGTCCAGCTATTACACTTTATCAATCGATCCTGACCACTCCAATACTGGCTCGTCAAAACACTTTTAGACCTGACTTAGGTCAGGTCTTTTAGTCATTGATGAATTCATTTCGGCCAAATAGGAACATAATGCAAATATTCACGTTGCATGGCATAGTATGAAGCTACAAACCGTGTCTGACCAAAAAATGTCTGATTAATCAAGCGGTTATAAAAACTGGATATACTGAGTGAAAAAATTTCTTTATTTCATTGCACTAATTTGAACTTTAATCTAGATAGAAATTCATGCTGTCTCTCATAATGTCTGGAAAG